AAAAATTCGCCGGCAATTCGCCGGCTCGTTATTTACCAGGGAAAAAATTCGCCGGCAATTCGCCGGCTCGTTATTTATCAAGGAAAAAATTCGCCGGCCTCCTTCAAGCAGGCACCGGGGGACAGGTTTACCTACAAAAAGAGAACCCTGGGCCTACGCCCTTTCCGGGAAAAACCCTGGGCCTACGCCCTTTCCAGGAAAAAAACCAACGGGAAGTTCCCGGGGGGGTCGACGAACTGTCACACCCGACTGGCTTCTTGGCATGGGCTTCCACTGTGCTCGACTCCTGCAGCGGCCCGCCGATGACCTTGCCGCCCACGACCTCTCGAAACTCCAGGTCATCGGTGACCTCGGGCGGGCTGATAGCTGCACCTCGCCCTCGTGCTGCGGGCAGGAGGCATACGCCAACAGGAGGTGGAGGAGGAGGAGGAGGAGGAGGAGGAGGAGGAGGAGCAGGAGCAGGAGGAGGAGCAGGAGGAGGACGACCCCACTTGGGAGGCCTGGAGAGAGAGGGCTCGCGCTCGGGCTCGGGTTCGTGGGCGCTGGGTGGTCTCGGACGCTGCCCTGGCCTCCGCGCGGATGTCTGGGATCGTTGCTGGGCCCCCCCCTGGCGGCGCCTCCGACGCCGCCCCTGGCGCGCTCCGCGCGCCAGGGAGGGGGGTCCAGCGCCGATCCGAGAAATCCGCGCGGACTTCCAATGTGGGTAGGCAGGTAGGTCGGTAGGTAGGTAGGTAGGTAGGTAGGTAGGTAGGTAGGTCTGTATGCATGCATGCATGCATGCATGTGTGTGTATGTATGTATGTATGTATGTATGTATGTATGTATGTATGTATGTATGTATGTATGTATGTATGTATGTATATATGTATGTATGTATGTATGCAGATAGGTAGGTATGTATGGATGTGTATATATGCATGTTTGTATGTATGCATGCATGCATGCATTTGTATGTGTACGTGTATGAGTATGAGTATGAATATGTACACTCATAACTTGTGTTAAGAAATTATGTGTCAAGAAATTGAGACCCAGCTTCGGTGAATTTCTCAACCCCGGTGCGAGACCCAGCTTTCGCCGCCGAATTTCTTAACGAATCGGGCGTTGCCACGCGACCACCGGCACAGCCAAACGGGTGTTTCTTAACAAATCGGGTGTTGCCACGCGACCACCGGAACCACGAATCGGGTGTTTCTTAACAAATCGGGTGCTGCGGGATAGCGATGAGGGGTTGTGTTGAGGGGTTGTGCTGGGGGGCTGTGCCGAGGGATTGTGCTGGGGGGTTGTGCTGGGGGTATGTGCTGGAGGGTTGTGCTGAGGGATTGTGCTGAGAGGTAGTGCTGTGAGGTGGTGCTGAGAGGTTGTGCTGAGGGGTTGTGCTGGAGGGTTGTGCTTGAGCGGTCGTGCTCGAGGGTTGTGCTGGAGGGTTGTGCTTGAACGGTCGTGCTGGAGGGTTGTGCTGGAGGGTTGTGCTGAGGGGTTGTGCTGGAGGGTTGTGCTGAGGGGTTGTGCTGGAGGGTTGTGCTGGAGGGTTGTGCTGAGGGTTGTGCTGGTTGTGCTGGAGGGTTGTGCTGGAGGGTTGTGCTGGAGGGTTGTGCTGGAGGGTTGTGCTGGAGGGTTGTGCTGGAGGGTCGTGCTGGAGGGTTGTGCTGGAGGGTTGTGCTGGAGGATTGTGCTGGAGGGTTGTGCTGGAGGGTTGTGCTGGAGGGTTGTGCTGGAGGTTTGGTGCTGGGGGGTTGTGCGGAGGTTTTTGCTGGAGGGTTGTGCTGGGGGGTTGTGCTGGAGGGTTTCTGGAGGGTTGTGGCTGGTGAGGTTGTGCTGGAGGGTTGTGCTTGGAGGGTT